AAGGCTTCACGAGATGCTTCAGAAGCCGACCAGACAAAAGAGTTTGCTCTCAGGTGTCTAAACACATTTGCGAGGCTCTCTCGAGTCAGCGCTTTTGTTTGCCTAATCCAGTTCCCTGAGAGTTGGAAGTGCCACAGAACTGTGAACATTGGCTTTGTAAAGAAGTTTCAAGTTCCCTGAATGATTTGCGGACGTTGCTGCAGGCAGGTGACCCCCGTGGAGGCGGAGGATTTATGGGGAGCCGTAAAAGTGTCAAATTCTTGGCGAAGCTTTGCTTTTAAGTAGTTTAAAAAACCGTCGCGCGCTGCGTGGGAAAGCAGTTTTCCCCCTCAATGGCGACGTTTTCAAGACAATAGTGGCTTTGCTTGTTTTCAATGCATGGCTCTACTGTGACGTACAGTTTGTCTTGCTTTGGTTAGGAGTCGCAGTAGCTTGCGGTTCGGCTAAAGACTACGAGTTTAACACTTTATCCAGGGGCCCCGTAGTAAGAATCTTGGATTCTGACTCCGTACTCAAATTAAAACAGTCATTAGAGCGTGTTTTCCAAGAAGAGCTGCTTTCTTTTCCTGCCTGCTACTCTCACGACTACGAAATAAAAGGTAATGAATTGCTTTCTGCTACCCCGTCTCTCCGTTCCAGCCATTCACAGCTAGTTGACCGTGGCATCTAGTGCTTGTGCACACAGCATTGGGTCTCACAGTATCGAGGCCATGTTCCTTAGCAGCAAACAGGACGTGCGAAACAACCCGAATGATCGTTTCTTTACTATTTTTATGGTTTAAATTATCTGGGCCGTAAAAGCTGCCAACGTGTAACTTAGCCCGCTACAACAGGCGTGCAGCAGCATAGGTTTGCAAGTTGCTCCGCGTTCCATCTGAATAACTGTGGAAGGTTTTGGAATCATGCTGACGAGCTTATTACTAGAGTAAATGCAGCTCTATATTTTGGCAAGTGTTGGCATGTGGTCAAGTGCCACCCTACACACTGCAGCCGCCCCATTGTGCAGTTCGCACAATAGGATGGGTTCCACCGTCTGGGCTGCCTTACCTAACCCCTCTCAGCAAAGCAGTAGGGAAACGTCAATTTCTGGTATGAAGGTTTTAGACATGATAGTATTATGAAGCAGCAAGGGTGTGTTAATTTGTGGTGCGAAGATTATAAAGGCTATAGCATCAAGAAGCTGTAAGAAAGCTGCTTGTCGTTATTACCATACACCCCAGCCACAATTTATACCTACAAACTGGCGTGCATTCCCCCCCCCCCAAAATGCCACCTAATTGGATTTGGCAGTTATTAAAATAAAGATCGTTTGCAAGAACTCGTAGGAACTAGTTTTAGGGCGCAGGTTGTGTTGGCTTCACGAAAAACCCACTGCATGCGCTACTGTCTGCAGCGAGCAGTCGGCGGCAAGGAGTTTGTCTGTTCTCTTTTACTGAAGCTCTGTGGGTAGAGACAGCTTCTTCCTAGCTGTACGGGACAAATATATCATAAGTTTATTCCAGTTTGGGCTGTTATTGCATCAGGAGTCCCGCCCTGCAGGGTACCACTTTCAGTGCATGCTGAAACGCGACAGCACCGGGGGAGCCTGAGTCTATGCAGAATTTTACCAGACGCCGTCACATCCTGTTTTGAACCCTGTGTGTAAATTTGTTGAGAGGGCAACAACAGAGGAATACCTGCAAGGTGGCTGTAGACCAACTTGGCCTTGCTCCAGCGGGAAGGGGCTACGGTTTTCCAGACACCTTTGAACAACGCTCACTCTGCTCTCGCTGTCCTAGCAGAGGGCGCTATTTAATTAGCTGTCTTCGGTGGCCAATTAACACAAGGGGGCTGCCAGGATCGGCAGACGCCCACCTGCAAGCTGTGGCCCCACCCGTACAGCCTTCAGCATTCTGCATTTTTCAACAAATTGCAACTTGCTGTGCCTCATTTCCTCCCCCACGCGCAATGAGGAGGTTTCAGAAGATCGATGTGCCCCAGGCGCTGCCAGCCGGGGCGCTGGTCGTCATTGCACTGTGCTGTTGGGTTCAGACAGCAACGGCAGCTTACTTCTACGTGCAGGAGTCTCACGAAAAGTGCTTCATCGAAAGCGTACCAGCTGATTTGGCGCTTACAGCAGCATACAAGGACCATGAAAACCCAGGTAAGTTGGCCACTTGGTGGTGCAGCTTTCTTCCGGCCTTGACACCCACACGCAATATCATACAACTTGCCGTGTATGTACGGGAGTTTGGACTTGTTTGAATGAGTTTTTGCGCCGCATGTTGCTGAATTTCTCAGGCGTAACATGCAGTATCATCTTCAAGGACCCCACAGGGCGCAGCGTTTACAGCCGGGAGGTGCTACCCACAGACATGGAAGGGAAAGTTACGCACGTGACAACAACGCCTGGAGAGTACCAAGTTTGTATTTCGTGCTCTCCTTCTAAATGGTCCAGCACGCAGTTGCTTAAGTGGTCACTCTCCATTGAACTGGGCGATACTGACGTCAATACCGACGTAAGTCAGACGAATCTGCCGATTTAACTCAGTCAGCTTACGCCATAGCCCAAGCGTTTTTGGCGGTCCTCCGTGAGTCTCCACTTTGTTCGTTATGGGGTTCTTATTTTTATAAAAGCATCAAAGATTGCTCGGTGTAGATCATTTGACGTTGTTCCTCCACTCGTTTGCATTGCTGTGTTGCCTCCTCCTCCTCGCAGGAGCTTGCCAAGAAGGAGCACGTAAATAGCGTTCATCTGAAACTGCAAGCCATAGCGCGAAGGGTGGAGGCAATGCAGGCGGAAAACGACTATGAAAGGGTGCAGGTACGCTCTCCGAATGCACAACCCAAGCCGAGTCGGGCGCTACTATTGCTTTCACTAGCTATGAATATGCATCACCTCGAGTATGCTTGCTAACACAATTCAAAAAGAAGCATCCTCATTGTTGTCTATCTGTATTGGCCCTTTCGAAATGCAAACGTGTGTTACCGAAGGATCAGAGCAATGCGCTTTTCCACTTCGTTCTACTGCCTGTCCGGTGTTTGCAGGAAGAACGATTCCAGCGGACGAGCGAAGCCATCAACAGTCGCGTTGTGTGGTTTTCAGTATTGCAACTTTTGCTTTTATGCGCCTGCACCCTGGCCAGTATCTTTTACTTGGTCCGCTACTTCCACTCCCACAAGATCATCTAAACGGCGAACTGCGCGGATGCATGTGTGTCCACCGTACCGTCGCTTTACTCTTTGCCTGAAATCGCCCGCAGACACTCCATGACAATCCTTGCCAGAGCAGTGAAAGGCTGGATAACTTACTCATGTCGCGAAATCTTGGGAAGCCACTTCCTCTCTGGTCTGAAGCCAAGCATGGTGCTAGGCAGTCCGGGTTTTTATGGAGCATAGAGACCAATTTAAGTGTGTCGAGGCACTGGTGGAGGCCGCCTGCAATTCGGTATAATCGAATACAGACGAATAAACTCGCAGCTGCAGCCTGCTGCACCATGAGGCGACAACCTCTAGCCCAATTAGTAAGGACTGATCGCTGAAAAAGTTATTAGTGTTAGAGCATCATTTATGTATCAACATGTATGCATGAAACATTTTCCAAAAATTCCTACTCAGTGACGATCATTCCGGGCTTCTGAGACTCTCTTTCTTACTAATTCTCTCTTTTTACAACGCAATCCTTGAAGCGATTGTCTCGGGGGTCAATGGACGCTGAAGCCCTGCAGAGTCAGTGATGACTTATGTCTGCTATGGCACCAGGTGCTGGCGGACTCCGGAGGCTTCTAAGCGCCCGTGGTGCAGTGTCAACGGATTTTGTAGTTACGGCTGGAGAAGCACAAGCAGCTCTCAGTTTGCGCCTTATTTGACGAGTCCTAGGGTTTACAGCTTGCGCACAAGGCACGCCTAGCTGAAGCAAGCTACTGATCCCAACACTGAAATGGTGAAAACAGTCAGAATGAAATGCTGCACTACGGACAAAGACACATTCAGGTTCAGCAAGCCGCACACTTGAACGCTGCTGAGAGCACAATGCGGCTCCCCGATTGTTAGTATCAGGCCTTCCTAAAAGCCGATGCACGCGACATTGCGGTGAACCTTATTCTCTCTCAACAAACTACAGCTTCTCCAATAACAAAGAATTCCTTGTTATTAGCTTCCTC